GCAAGTGTACACGGAAATTGGAGGTTTGAGGGATTCACTTTAACCAACTAAATCATCAAAAAACTTAGCGGACGCACCATGGAATAAATGGTTATTTTCTGCGAAACGTATACGAACGTGAGCAATGTACATATAAAAGTTTACAGAGCTCATTCTAATAGGACCAGGTAGGATGGAACATGAAAGTAAGGGTATTTCCAGGGCTCAAAACTGTGTCCTAATACATTTGGAGCGTTAGGCATATCCATTCGACTTTTCCTTAAATGCAAAACTGCGCATAAGTCACAAGTCATTTTGGGTTATTCTACGCGATGCATGTACATTTTATTCCAGTTTTAGTTAAGTGCTTTGGTTCAAAAATCTCCAATGGCAAGTAGGTCGAAAAATGCATTAATTAGTCTGCTATTGCAAGTGTTGGCCGACAGCATATGCTGCCAAAAGTACATCTAAAGTATGTTTTAGTGCTGCAAGATTGAGTTTGAAGAAGCGCATAAGGCATTTATTATACTGGCAATAGTTGTGCCATCTCCCAAAAAATTCACAAAAGCTTCCACGCGAAAGATGCCCAAAGAGTTTGCCTCCAAGCCTAACGGTCATTCAGAGAAATGTTTGCAGGAATTTACTTCAAATGTTGCGACAAAATGCATTTTATGCCTAGAAGTGTGATAATTCGTGTACACTTTTCAACACTTTCCGAATTTTCGCCTTGCATGTTTCTGGACTATCTGCAACGCATGCTGTCTAGACTGAGCCCATGACCCAACAACTGTAGCCCAAGTTGCACACTTCGTTACCAGCATAATAAATCCAGGGGTATTTTATATCGTAATAATCATATGAGCGGCTAAAAATTCCCACAATCACAAACTTTCTTACATGCAAATTTTCCCTCCCAATAATAAAATTGACGAAAAAGGTCTAACAAAGCCAGCATAAGGAGGGCAAATTCTATCCCTCCTTTCTGACGAATATGACTGAATTTATGCATGTTGAGAAAATTCATGGAAGCGGTACATT